AAAGATCAGAAAAATAAGGTAAATTATATAATTCCAAAATATAAAGCTCAATAAACTTATTTTGATAAAGTTATAAGAATAATTATATAACATTCGAAAAAAATTTAAAATTTACTGAATTTTAAACGCACGTATGAATTCATAATTTCCTGTTTCCAAGGATACAGACAAATCGAAACATTCAGACAAGGGGTGGTAGCGTGTTCATTTTTATTAACTATTGCTGTATCAATTATGAGTTACGTTCGAAAAAGAGGTTAAGTTTAGGGTGGGTAGGGGTTTATTTTTTTTAAAAGTTTTTAGCTTTCATTTTTGAAACATGGTTAGAACTGTGTAACGAAAAAAATCATATTTTAAATCAGTTAATTTATAATATTTATGCTCTGTAATTTTACATTGAGCACTGTTTTGTAAAAATAAAAAATAACAAGAACACCGGATTATATATCTTATTGTTCTTTCTTTTTATTTATACAAACACACATATATATATATATATATATATATATATATATATATATATATATATATATATATGAAGAAATATACTCTGAGGGTGTGCTATATTTATGGGCTAAAGTGCTCAATATCAGAGAGAGAGCGTGCGTAAATATAAAAGTGAACATTGAAGGCAACAATTAGAGGCGACAGGCTGTTTTATGCTAGACGCAATCGTGTATATATATATATATATATATATATATATATATATATATATATATATATACCGACAAAAAACAAAAATTACGTCAACATGGGATAATCTATTTCAAGCCGTTCTGTACACGATGTTGAGGTAATTTTCTGTGGTGGATTCCGAGATGAAATTCAGTCTCCAATGAATGACAAACGCAAGAATTAAATATAAGAAATAAAATGTATTTATACAATAATACAAAGGGTAATACTGTTAGTAAATCCAGGAACGCGGTTAGTAGCATAATATATATATATATATACAGTCTGAAGTAGGACTTCCTTCGAGTCTACGTGCTTTGTAATTGACATCTACAAGCGATTTACCTCACACTATTACTCTACCTCCAACTCAGTCTCAATCTCAGTCTTCTCACTATCTGTCACACTCTCTGACTCTGGGTATTTAATGGCAGCAGTCCAAGTAACATTCTGGTCGAGTCCACTTATATGAAAAAGGGAGGACCCCCTTTCTTTCCACCAGTGTTTTCTTTCTTTTTTCTTTCTTTCTTTCTTTCGAATTTCTGCCTTATTCAAATTATTCATCCAGTGTTTTTTTTCTTTCCCAGAAACTGATCACGCTAGATAACACGTTTCTCCCAGAAACCGAAAAAAAAAATTCACAATCCATTATTTTAATTCAACTCAGCCATTATCAAAGTGTAAATATATCAAACAATATTTTAGTCTGTCATTGTTAGTTTACATAGTGGATCAAACGAAAACATATAAGACGCTAAAATCTCATGACGTCACACATGACTACGAGAGTAGAGGATAGTCCAATTTCAAAGCCATTCATTTAAGAATCATTTTCGGATTCCATAGTTGATTTTTTTGGGTTGGGCTGTTTGATGTATAAGCTTCAGTATTTTTAGTTTTTTGTCTATTGAACGTCTATGGTTGTGTTTTCGACAAGTATTTTACGGAATTGTGTTGCGGGCAGGCATGTTGGCCTAAAAAAAAATTTTCATTTTATCAAGCGTCGTGAAGATATCAGAAGATACGAAAAAATACATAAAATAAATATGTCTATATTATTTAATCTGTTATAATAAATACATATATATATATATATTTATAGCAAAAACAAGGTCTATTTCAAGCCATTATGTGCTGCTATGATCTTAGGGGGCTTTAAATAACTAATAGACAATTACTAGGATTTAGTTTTACCCGGATTATATACCAGCTCTCGGATCAGTTTAAATTGCTAATGTTACTACGATACGGATTACATACCAACGGATCGATTCTCTCTCTCTCTCTCTCTCTCTCTCTCTATATATATATATATATATATATATATATATATATATATATATATATTGCATCAAATATATTTATAGATTCTTTTTTATAGATACAAATATTTAAGTAAATACTCTGTTTATATATTCTCTCAATCATTCATATCTGCTCAATGCGTATCCAAATGTAAACTAATGACGTCACACATTCTGAAATGGACAAAAGTCCGACAATTATTTTTTTAAGGTTTTTAATATTTTTTTAAAAGGTTTTAATATTTAAAAATATCTATAAAAGAACTTTTTAAACATAAAAAATATCTTAAATAATTGTCGGACTTATCCATTTCATAATATATATATATATATATATATATATATATATATATATATATATATAGAGATTATTATTATTGAAGTGACTTGTAAGAACATATATTGTTGTTGTTATTATTATGTATTGAAAAGAACAGTATTCTATTTGTAAAAAGAAAAGGCCAGACATCTTTCCATTTCCAAATTTAGTTAATGCCATTTTGTGTTCTGGTGAAAGAATGCCAAAATGGCACCTGGATTTTCCTGGCGCCAAATCCCATAACCTTTCCTTGAAAAAAAAACAACTAACCCTCCAAACTCACTCGTTCTTTTTCTCCTTCTATTCTTTGTTCTCTTTCTCTCATAAAATATCATTCTTCAGTCTATAAACTGTTCGTATTTCTTTCGTCCAATCGATATTCTTATCAGGAGTCTTTGATGGGCAAAACCAAAACTGGTAACGAGCGGTCGCAAATAGAAATTACGATAGAACAGAAGTGATACAATATTGAAATAATACAGGACATGTTTGAAAATGTAAGCATTTACGAAAAACAGAACGTCTTATATCATTGCTATTGTTGTTAACGAAACATTGCCTGTCACAGCACCAGAGGAGTAAGAAACATTACAAGAGTAGAATGGCGCGTGGGGGGGAGGTAAGTGTCTATTGAGAAACTAATATAGTAAAATGATTAGTACTTTTATGGATTAGTTCTCCCACCTGGGCTTTTGATTGTTTATTACCAAAATAGTCCAGAAGACATTTCTTTCTTTCTTTCTTTCTTTCTTTCTTTCTTTCTTTCTTTCTTTCTTCTCCATTATTTTTCTTTAATTGTTACTATATTTTTTTTTTGCCTTCCGTAATTTCCTTCTTTCTTTCCTTCTTTCTTTCTTTCTTTTCCATTATTTTTCTTTAATTGTTACTATATTTTTGCCTTCCGTAAGTTCTTTCTTTCTTTCTTTTTCTTTCTTTCTTTATGACTCTCTCCCTATATATATATATATATATATATATATATATATATATATATATATACACTCATATATATATATATATACATATATTACTATATATATATGTGTGTGTGTGTGTGTGTGTGTGTGTACTATATATCAGGTCATTCCATAATTTCTGTCCAAATTTTGAATAAAGAAAAGTGACCAAATGTTACATTTAACTGCAGATTCAATCAACAATGTGTTTTCCCTGATTATCTATGACTTCCTTCCATCTATTAACAAGCTTACTAATTCCATTACTGTAAAATTCTTTTGATTTTGATTCGAAGAACTCACAAATTTCAGTTTTAACCTCTTCCTGTGTTACAAAAGCTGTTTCTTCCAAATGATTCTGTAAGCTACGAAACAAATGGTAGTCTGAAGGAGTAAGATCGGGAGAATAAGATGGATGAGGAATTTTCTCCCAACCAAGTTCTTCGATCTTTTGTGACGTGATTCTTGCTGTGTGGGGTCGCGCATTGTCCTTGTGAAACATCACCTCTTTTCGATTCACTAGAGCAGGTCTTTTCCCTCAAAGCTTGGTTCAAACGCTGACAGTATATTTGAGCACTAATTGTTGCATTACATGGTAAGAATTCAAAGTGGATTATTCCTTGGTGATCCCACCAGATTGAAAGAAGAAACTTTTGCCCATGAAGTTCCCTTCTCGGCTGTGGCTGGGGTCCTTCCTCTTTACCAAGCCACTGTCTCCGACGCTTAACATTTCGATAAAAGATCCATTTTTCGTCGCCAGTCACAAGTCTATCCAAAAAAGGTCAAACAAGTTGGCGAGAATGGAGAGAAGAGCAGATGTCAACTCTGGATTTGAGGTTGTTTTCAGACAATTCATGAGGCACCCATTTTCCAAGTTTAGGAACTTTTCCAAGTTGTTGAAGATGACGATGAACACTTGTATGGTTTGAACTGAGAACCACTGCCAATTCCTCAACTGATAAAGCAGGATTTTCTTTAAGGGCTGCTTTAAGAAGCTTTTCATCAAACTCAACTGGACGTCCGGTTTGATCTTCACCTTCAAGGGTGAAATCTCCACCTCTGAATTTTACAAACCATCTTCTGCAAGTTCTTTCATTCACATTTCTCTCCATAAACTGAGTGAATGTTTCTAGCCGCTTCGGCTGCTGAGTTTCCTTTCTTGAACTCATAAACCATTATGTGCCTCAAATGATTCTTGGGTACTTCCATTGTTAGCAGGGTTTTAATCAAACAAAATTTAATTTTATTGTTATCTGAAATAAAATTTGATCAGTTTAAATGCATCTAAACATAAAAATAATGTTCAGCTCCATTAGACATTATAAAATACTCTTTAAATTTCGTTCATTTTAACAAAAAGTTAAAATTCGGACAGAACTTATGAGATGACCTGATATATATATATATATATATATATATATATATATATGAAGAAATAAAGTCTTAAGATGTGCTATATTTATGGGATAGAGTGCTCAATATCAGAGATAGAGTGTGTGCAAATATAAAAGTGAACATAGAAGTTAACACTTAGAGGCGACAGTCTGTTTCATTCTAAATGCAATCCTCAGGCCACTAGCTAGCTTGCTAGCTCAATCTGTTCATTATTTATTTATCTATCTATCTATCTATCTATCTATCTATCTATCTATCTCTGTTAGTTTCTATCTATCTATCTATCTATCTATCTATCTATGTTTATTTATATCTCTTTTAGTTTCTATCTGTCCATCTATCTATATATATATATCTATTATCTATGTTCATCTATCTATCTATCTATCTATCTATCTATCTATCTATCTATCTATCCCTGTTAGTTTCTCGTTTCTATCTATCTATCTATCTATCTATCTATCTATCTATCTGTATGTTCGTTTTCTATCATATCTATCTATCTATCTATCTATCTATCTATCTATCTATCTATCTATATTTATTTATTTATTTATATCTCTGTTAGTTTCTATCTTCTATCTATCTATATATATATCTATTATCTATGTTCATCTATATCTATCTATCCATCCCCGTTAGTTTCTGTCTATCTATCTATCGATCTATCTATCTCTGTTAGTTTCTATCTCCTATCTATCTATCTATCTATCTATCTATCTATCTATCTATATATATATATATATATATATATATATATATATATATATTATCTATGTTCATCTATATCTATCTATCCATCCCTGTTAGTTTCTGTCTATCTATCTATCTATCTATCTATCTATTCATTTTCTATCTATCTATCTTGTTTTCTATCTATCTATCTATCTATCTATCTATCTATCTGTGTTAGTTTCTATCTATCTATATTTTTGTATATATATATATATATATATATATATATATATATATATATATATATATATATATATATATATATGCCAATGTTTTTCAATTTAACTATTTTTCTATCTGCATGTGTTCATATATATGTGTCAAGGTGGGTTTGCAAACTTAGGGAAATATATACGTGTGCACGTATGAATATATGTTGTTCGTTTTTGCCTGTCTCCTTTTTTTGTATGTCTAATTGACGAATGGTGCATGGAGAGGCGAAGTTCTCTTGTGTCTAGCATCTAGGGCTTTCAAAGAGAATACTCTTATCAAATATATAAAAGAGACAAAGACACCTGAGGTTTCATATATTGGAATTCTTAAAGTCACCTCTGTTGTTGAATTCTAAATTGATTGCTATCCACATATCGACAAAGGCACGCATCTTAGAAGCGCACGAGTCAGAGCTGACAGGACATGTACATGGTTTTCACTTCCTAAGATGTGACAGAATATCTTCTAGAATTTCTTCTTGTTTTGCCGAAACCTTATCAGCACCTTCTACTCTCTATCTATTTATCTACCCCTCTATATAATAAATGCGAATGTCAGTGTGTCACTATGTCACACTTATTCAACTTTACTCCTAAAGGTCCTATCCCATCATATCATAGCATTTTAGAATCAGGCCGACCCCGTGAGGAAAATTAAAAGCATTCCTGGCGGGATCTGGACCCACAATCCTGAAATTTTGGATTCCCACGTTTTCATTACTGCGATTGTTTTCGCACTCCGCCATCTTGGTTTCTGCTGATAAAAAACAAAGGGAAACAACTCCTAACTTTCAATAGCTCATGTTCTAATGAAAAAAATACTGTTCTCAAATTAGTGTTTCAAAATAATAATGTCCGTGTTTTCAACTTTTCTCCAAAAGGCCTCAGCCCAGCATATCATACCATTTTGAAGTCATCCCAACTCCATGAGCAGATTAAAAGCATTCCGGGCTGGATCCAGACCAGCAATCCTGAAATTTGGGATTCCCAAGTTTTCATTACTTTGATTACTTTCAACGATATTTTTTGCGACGAAAATCTTTGGTACGACAACAATCTTTATAAATTGGAAACACATTTGGAAATAATCGAAATGAATTGCGATGGTCACCCATGAAATAAAATAAAATGTTTGTACGGAAAGTAAGGACCTACGTACATCAAACTGTCTTTAAATTAATTGGCAGCAGATAAATTACCGTTGAACTTTTAAAAGGTGGGCTTAAATATTAATGCGATATTTAAATGAAGCTTTCGTTGTCTATCGTTGCCTATCGCATCTACCCACTCCTTACCTATTGTAATAAAGGCCCAAACAAGTATTTTTCTCACATTTTATATATGTATATATATATATATATATATACTCACATCATGTATATATATTTTTTATCACATCATGTATATATATTTTTTCTCACATCATTTTTATATATATATATGAATAGACAGAGAAGATATATATATATATATATATATATGAACAGACTGAGAAAGAGAGAAAAATATATATGTATATAAATTTACATTTTTCACATCATATATATATATATATTCTCATCATCATATATATATATATATATATATATATACATATATATATATATATTTGCACATCATGTATATATATATATATATATATATATATATATACATAAATATATTTTCTCACATCATGTATATATATATATTTGCACATCATGTATATATATATATATATATATATATATATATATATATATATATTAAATATATTATATATATATATATATATATATATATATATATATATATGAACAGACTGAGATAGATAGATAGATAGATAGATAGATATGAGCAGACTGAGGATAATAGAAAAAATTATATATATATATAAATATATATATATTCTCACATCATGTATATATATATATATATATTATATATTTCCTCACATCATCTCTCTCTCTCTATATATATATATATATATATATATATATATATATATATATATAATGAACATACTGAGATAGATAGATAGATAGATAGATAGATATGGACAGACTGAGAAAGATAGACTGTGCAGTGTTGAAAAAATTATTATATGAAGGAATGTAATATCTGAGAAAATCGTGTGTGCCTATGCGCACACAAACATTCACACGCACACTTACACACACACGTTTACCCAGACACACACACATACACACACACAAACACACACACATATATATATATATATATATATATAGCGATAGAAATAAAGAGAAAGATAGATAGAAAGGTAGATATGAACAAATTTAGATAGATAGATAGATAGATAGATAGATAGATAGATAGATAGATAGATAAAGACAGACTGAGATAGATAGATAGATAGATAGACAGATAGATAGATATGGACAGACTAAGATAGATAGATAGATAGATAGATAGATAGATAGATAGATAGATAGATAATATGAGATAGATAATAGGCTGAGATAGATAGATAGATAGATAGATAGATAGATAGATAGATAGATATGAACTAAATGAGGTAGATTGTGCAGTGGAGAAAAAATTATTGCATGAAGGAATGTAAAACATGAGAAAATTCACGCGCAAGCACCAGGACACAAAACTCACACTCACTTACACATTTTATATATATATATATATATATATATATATATATATATATATATATATATATATATATATATATATGTGTGTGTGCGTGCGTCCTTTTTGCGTGTGCCTGCTGAGAGGGAGAGAGGCTGAAACAAGCTCAGAAATTGATGTACGGATTAACCCTCATTGCATCCGAAATACAGAAATATAGAAGAATATCCATAAATACAGAAAACATTCAGAAAAATAAAGATATTTGCTAAAATGAACGTCGTCCGATATTCGAGATATTTTTGAACAATCGAACGACTGGGAAACAATTGAACCTGCTTGATCTGCCTTGAATGAGAAAAAAAAAAAAATTGGTAAAAAAAAATGAAGAAAAAAATGTCCGATCACCAGCCCGCTCTCTTTCCACGTCTGTCTGTATTGTTTCATAACAGACTGGACTGTGCCAATGGCTAAGACTCGGAAGGCCCGTGCCAGGCTGGGCTAGGCTGGGCTGGGCTGTGGCTTGATGACTAGCCACGAAAGAAAGATGGCTACCATTGAAGAAATAAGTCATCCCTGATCACCAGACACGGCAAATAAACATATAAATGCGCCCAGGTCGTCCGTGCATCTTGTTGAAGAGTTTTTTTTTCGTTGAAATGTTTCTGTAAATAGTTCTAATGGCAATGAGCCAGAAGTAGCAATGTCAGTCTACAGCAAAAGATACTGAATGCGAGATAGAAAAAAAAAAACATGGCGTCGGGAAAGATAAAAAAAAAAGAAAGATGGAAGACAGTTTATTAACTGAGAGTAGATTGTAGAATTTGGGGAGAGATGAAGACGCAAAGAGGTGGGGAAAGATGGTTGTATAGCTTTCAGAGTATACCTGTTTTGAGAATTGGTGCTACACAGTCTTCCTCCATCTACGTAATTTTTGGTTCAGTCATGTTTTCACTAGTTCATTATTCGGCGCGATAAGGTCTTCCTTAATATCATTTCAACACATTTTGTCCGGTGATATATTCGAGTGGACGTGACCTGGTTCTGAAAAGTGTAAAATGGAAACAAAGGAAGAAGAAAATATTGAGAAAAGAAGAGAAAAAAAAAGGAAAGAAAGAAAGAAAGAAAAAAAAAGAAAGATGAAAAATAAGCATGAAGAAAGAAAAAGAAAGAATGGGGAAAGAAAAGAAGAAAGAGAGAAAAAGTAAAAAAGAAAAAAACGAAAGCGAAAGAATCAAGGAAAATGGTGAGAAAGTAAGAAAGGAAGGAAGAAAGAAAGATAACAGTGGTGGAAAGAAAGAAAGAAAGAAAGAAAGAAAGAAAGAAAGAAAGAAAGAAAGAAAAAAAAAAAAAGAGAAAAAGAAAGAAAGAGAAAAACAAATAAATAAAGAAAGAAAGAAGATGACAGAAAAAGAAAAGAAAGAGGAAGAAAGAGGAAAAAAGAAACAAACAACAAAGAGAAAAAAGAAAGAAAGAAAGAAAAGAAAGAAAATAAAAAGAAATAAAGAAGAAGGAAAAAATAAAAGAAAGAAAAGAAAGAAAGAAAGAAAGAAAGAAGAGGAAAAAAGAAAGAATGAAAGAAATAGATATAAGAAAGAAAGAAGAAATAAAGAAAAAAGAAAGAAAGAAAAAGAAAGAAAGAAAAAGAAAGAAAGAAATGAAGGAAGAGGAAAAAAGAAAGAAAGACAAATAAGAAAGAAAAACAGAAAGAATTGATTGGTTCGTTTTTTACAGTTTATCAACCTTTTGCAGTTTACTTAAAGCCAAAACATATCAGACTGAGTCTTTTTTTATCTTACTAATTAACCCATAGCTGGTGGAGATAAATGTGGATTCATACCTTTCCCAAGAATATTTGCGAACTACTAGAATTGTAAAACTGCTCTCCGATTAACAATTCCGAGCAACTTTTTATTGCACCATACACACATCTAACAGTACCTGATATTTCCAAGGGGTTACTCATCTAGATCATGACCAAGCTCGACGCTGCTTAACTTCGGAGATCGTACGAGAATCGGTATATCAACATGATATATCCGATTATACCGTACTAATAGAATTTACAGCACCAAGTATTCCGAATTGGTCACTCATCTAGGTATTGACCTGGCTCGACATTGCTTAACTTCGGTGATCGTACTGGCACCAGTGTTTCAACGTGATGTGACCGCAAGCAGAAGGAAGGAAGGAAGGAAGGAAGGAAGGAAGGAAGGAAGGACGATGGAAAGATAAAAAAAAAAACAGAAAAAAAAGGAAAGGAAAGTGAAAAAAATAAGAAGAACAAATTTCGCGCCAATTCAAGAGGCAGATGCAGCAACTGCCTTTAACACTGATTTTCAAGGAAAGCATGTTCTACTTAAAATGCTCATAAATTCATCCCAAACAAGGCTATAATGCCACTAAGAAGCAAGGAGCTACTGCGAGCGAAACAGAATGAGAAGACTTTAGAAGGACCCGGAAACCCAATTCTAAACAGGAAAATAAAACGAGGAGCGTGAACCGGGCAATAACATTTTTGTAGCGCGGCATTTTTACTTATTTCACATTTTGCCTTATGGCTTACACAGTTAATAATACTGATTACTAAGAATAATTTGAAGCAACAGAATAATTGTTATGTGATATTTCAGGGTAGATATAGAAATAGTTACAACGGGTGGATTGGGCATTAAGTGATTTTCCTCTACCACTTTTCAAAAGGGTGGCTGGGCATTAAATCATTTTTCTCTACCACTGCTGAAGCAAGAGTAACAAAGGAAGGTGTACTGAACTGTTATGTAATATCAGTCCTCCTATATGGCAGTGAATGCTGGACAATCTCCTCACAGATGAAGAAGAGACTTGAAGCAAGAGAAACAAAGAAAAGAGTACTGAACTGTTATGTAATATCAGTCCTCCTATATGGCAGTGAATGATGGACAATCTCCTCACAGATGAAGAAGAGACTTGAAGCAAGAGAAACAAAAAAAAAGAGAACTGTTATATAATATCTGTCCTCTGTTATGTGAATATCACAGATGAAGAAGAGTCCTCCTATATGGCAGTGAATGATGGACAATCTTCTCACAGATGAAGAAGAGACTTGAAGCAACAGAAACAAAAAAAAGAGTACTGAACTGTTATGTAATATCAGTCCTCCTATATGGCAGTGAATGATGGACAATCCCTTCACAGATGAAGAAGAGACTTGAAGCAAGAGAAACAAAAGAAAAGAGTATTGATCTGTTATGTAATATCAGTCCTCCTATATGGCTGTGAATGATGGACAATCTCCTCACAGATGAAGGACTTGAAGCAACAGAAACAAAGAGTGTTGGACTGTTATGTAATATCAGTCCTCCTAGCAGTGAAGATGGAAATCCCCTCACAATGAAAAGACTTGTATTGTATTGACTGTTATGTAATATCAGTCCTCCTATATGGCAGTGAATACTGGACAATCTCCTCACAGATGAAGAAGGGACTTGAATCAAGAGAAAAAAAGAAAAGTGTATTGAACTGTTATGTAATATCAGTCCTCCTATATGGCAGTGAATGATGGACAATCTCCTCACAGATGAAGAAGAGACTTGAAGCAAAGAGAAACAAAGAAAAGAATACTGATCTGTTATGTAATATCAGTCCTCCTATATGGCAGTGAATGCTGGACAATCTCCTCACAGATGAAGAAGAGACTTGAATCAAGAGAAACAAAAGAAAAGTGTACTGAACTGTTATGTAATATCAGTCCTCCTATATGGCAGGGAATACTGGACAATCTCCTCACAGATGAAGAAGAGACTTGAAGCAAGAGAAACAAAGAAAAGAGTACTGATCTGTTATGAAATATCAGTCCTCCTATATGGCAGTGAATGCTGGACAATCTCCTCACAGATGAAGAAGAGACTTGAAGCAAGAGAAACAAAGAAAAGAGTACTGAAATGTTAAGTAATATCAGTCCTCCTATATGGCAGGGAATGATGGACAATCTCCTCACAGATGAAGAAGAGACTTGAAGCAAGAAAAACAAAGAAAAGCGTACTGAACTGTTATGTAATATCAGTCCTCCTATAGGCAGTGAATGCTGGACAATCTCCTCACAGATGAAGAAGAGACTTGAAGCAAGAGAAACAAAAGAAAAAGTGTACTGAACTGTTATGTAATATCAGTCCTCCTATATGGCATTGAATGATGGACAATCTCCTCACAGATGAAGAAGAGACTTGAAGCAAGAGAAACAAAAGAAAAAGTATTGATTTGTTATGTAATATCAGTCCTCCTATATGGCAGTGAATGCTGGACAATCTCCTCACAGATGAAGAAGAGACTTGGCACAAGAGAAACAAAAGAAAAGAGTACTGAAACTGTTATTAATATCAGTCCTCCTATATGGCATTGAATGATGGACAATCTCCTCACAGATGAAGAAGAGACTTGAAGCAAGAGAAACAAAGAAAAGAGTACTGAACTGTTATGTAATATCAGTCCTTCTATATGGCAGTGAATGCTGGACAATCTCCTCACAGATGAAGAAAGACTTGAAGCAAGAGAAACAAAAGAAAAGAGTACTGAACTGTTATGTAATATCAGTCCTTCTATATGGCATTGAATGATGGACAATCTCCTCACAGATGAAGAAGAGACTTGAAGCAAGAGAAACAAAAGAAAAAGAGTACTGAACTGTTATGTAATATCAGTCCTCCTATATGGCAGTGAATGCTGGACAATCTCCTCACAGATGAAGAAGAGACTTGGAACAAGAGAAACAAAGAAAAAAAGAGTACTGAACTGTTATGTAATATCAGTCCTCCTATATGGCAGTGAATGCTGGACAATCTCCTCACAGATGAAGAAGAGACTTGAAGCAAGAGAAACAAAGAAAAGAGTACTGAACTGTTATGTAATATCAGTCTTCCTATATGGCAGTGAATGCTGGACAATCTCCTCACAGATGAAGAAGAGACTTGGCACAAGAGAAACAAAGAAAAAAGAGTACTGAACTGTTATGTAATATCAGTCCTTCTATATGGCATTGAATGCTGGACAATCTCCTCACAGATGAAGAAGACTTGAAGCAAGAGAAACAAAGATTACTGAACTGTTATGTAATATCAGTCCTCCTATATGGCAGTGAATGCTGGACAATCTCCTCACAGATGAAGAAGAGATTTGAAGCAACAGAAACAAAGAAAAGAGTACTGAACTGTTATGTAATATCAGTCCTTCTATATGGCATTGAATGCTGGACAATCTCCTCACAGATGAAGAAGAGACTTGAAGCAAGAGAAACAAAGTAAAGAGTACTGAACTGTTATGTAATATCAGTCCTCCTATATGGCAGTGAATGCTGGACAATCTCCCTCACAGATGAAGAAGGACTTGAAGCAAGAGAAACAAAAGAAAAAGAGTACTGAACTGTTATGTAATATCAGTCCTCCTATATGGCAGTGAATACTGGACAATCTCCTCACAGATGATGAAAGACTTGAATCAAGAGAAACAGAAAAGACTTGAATATGGCAAGAGAAACAAAATGAAAAGAGTACTGAACTGTTATGTAATATCAGTCCTTCTATATGGCAGTGAATGCTGGACAATCTCCTCACAGATGAGAAGAGACTTGAAGCTTAAAGAGAAACAAAAGAAAAAGTACTGAAATGTTAAGTAATATCAGTCCTCCTATATGGCAGTGAATGATGGACAATCTCCACAGATGAAGAAAGACTTGAATAAAGAAAACAAAAGAAAAGGGTACTGTTATGTAATATCAGTCCTCCTATATGGCAGTGAATGCTGGACAATCTCCTCACAGATGAAGAAAAGACTTGAAGCAAGAGAAAACAAAGAAAAAAGTACTGAACTGTTATGTAATATCAGTCCTCCTATATGGCTGTGAATGATGGACAATCTCCTCACAGATGAAGAAAAGACTTGAAGCAAGAGAAACAAAAAGTACTGAAATGTAATATCAGTCCTCCTATATGGCAGTGAACTGGACAATCTCCTCACAGATGAAGAAGAGACTTGAAGCAAGAGAAACAAAAGAAAAGAGTACTGAACTGTTATGTAATATCAGTCCTATATGGCAGTGAATGCTGGACAATCTCCTCACAGATGAAGAAGACTTGAAGCAAGAGAAACAAAAGAAAAGAGTACTGAACTGTTATGTAATATCAGTCCTCCTATATGGCAGTGAATGATGGACAATCTCCTCACAGATGAAGAAGAGACTTGAAGCAAGAGAAACAAAGAAAAGAGTACTGAACTGTTATGTAATACAATATCATGTCCTTCTATATGGCAGTGCAAGAGAAACAAAAGAAAGAGTACTGGACAATCTCCAGATGACTCCTCACAGATGAAGAAGAGACTTGAAGCAAGAGAAACAAAGTAAAAGTACTGAACTGTTATGTAATATCAGTCCTCCTATATGGCAGTGAATGCTGGACAATCTCCTCACAGATGAAAGAATTTGAAGCAACAGAAACAAAGAAAAGAGTACTGAACTGTTATGTAATATCAGTCCTTCTATATGGCATTGAATGCTGGACAAGTCTCCTCACAGATGAAGAAGAGACTTGAAGCAAGAGAAACAAAGTAAAGAGTACTGAACTGTTATGTAATATCAGTCCTCCTATATGGCAGTGGATGCTGGACAATCAAGGTGAAGAAGAGACTTGAAGCAACAAAATGATGCTGTGAATATCAGTTCCGAATGTTAGTAGAAACGGTGAAATTTTAGAAAATGGAATCAAATAGGGCACTTATACTTAACATCAGAAAAAGAAAGTTGAACTTCCAAGGGTACATAATGAGGAAAGAAAGTTTGGAAAATCTGATACTGACAGGAAAGCTTGCAAGAGGAACAGAGAAAAAAGAAAAGATAACTTAGTGAGCTTTAGTAAATGGATGGCGGTCCAAGTTTTAGGTAAGAAAATACAAATATCAAATTTATTAAGAGCTACAAAAAGTCATCAATGGACACGGCGTATAGAAGAAGAATTCAAATTAGATAAAGATCATCATCATCATCTTGCGGCCTCAGCCGAGATTGAACTCACCAATACTTTGATTGGTGTAGTTCTTGTCAAATAGCTGAATTCTTGATGCTTCGCTAGGGCTATCAAGGGTGTTTTTATCGTGACACCAACACTAAATGGATTGCCAACCAAGGCTCAGAGAGACTCCATTCACCCTCCTCTCTAAGAGCAGGTTTGAATTCAGAGTTTTCCTTCTCCTAGACCAGTTGCCATTCAAGGCTATAGAACCCAGTCTGTCCTGCTATTTTACCCATAGCTGTAGGGAGAAGAGGATTAATACATTTCCCAAGGATATTAGCACGTAAGTGAATTTAATGGATTCAACTGGAA